ACGAGTTTACCAGAAAGCAAGAGCTGCTGGCGGGCCCCTCTCTTCCTCTGCCTCCATGGCCCATATCACCACTAAAGTAAACCCAAATTATTTGAATTCTTTGTTGAGTGGTGATGATCAGTCAGTGACGACTGAAGTAGCTCCTCCTGAGGAAAAACAACGAGGGATGAACGTACCAAAACTCCTCGTTTTTAGCGGGGCAGTTGCTCTTGCATGCAGTCTTGACCGAGGGCTTCTAACAAAGGCTGTTATCTTTGGTGTCGCAAGAAAACTCGGAAGAATAGGAGGTAAATTATAACCGGAGGTGCTCTAATTATAACGAGGTAGTATTGACATTCCTGCATCATGTGATCGTATTATTCCTGTGCAGGAAGACAATCCCAAACACCCCCCCCCCCCAAATAATTGAAAAATATAAAAGAAAAATCAAAATCCAGGAACAAAAGCTTCGTAAGGCGATATCCTAGGGAGTTTTGCATGTTGTAGACAGTAGCATGAAGCTACAGAAGCTGTACTTGAAGAAATTAGTAGATCATAAATTTGTATATCAGCAGAAACTGGTTCTCTTTTTTCTTCAATTTATTGCTGCTAGCTGAGTAGCCATTTCTTATTATTATGATCTTGCTAAGCAAATATTCATTCTGTCCATATATTTTCCCTTATTTTTCACCTATATCATCAAATTTGTTTTGTTCTGTGTCAACTTGATTTCTCTGAATTCTGTTTGTTCTGATACTGATTGGTAAAGTTGTCTATGGTGTACTTGGTTGTTATACCTTTGGATTTATTAGCAATTTCCCACTTCTGTTTGTTTGATACCACATAAATTTTAGGGAGAGATTGAGATTGAGATTGATGGATTAGCTATGATTTTGGCCTCTAGAAAAGTCATACACAGTAACACAGTATTATCTAAATGTAGGGTTGTTAACAACATTGTATGCAAGCGTTACTACGTACTGTAAGTATGTATCAACTAAGATGATGTTCTCTTTACCTTAAGAAATAATCATTTTAACCAGCGAAAGTCTGTTAGATAGTTGATTAGTATTGATGTTTTAGTCTTTTGTTTTCTTGTCAAGATTTTCTCTTCTAAAATGTTTCCTATTTAGTTACGGAATTACATATGCCACCCAAAAAAAAAAAAGTTTTCATCTTCTGGAGAAAGCTTTCTTAAGAATTGCATGTTTTTGTTTTCTATACAATTTTGGGGTACTTTGAGAAATAGGTAGTGTGTTGTAATTAGGCTCCTAACTACCAGAACAATGTCACATGAAATTTATGAAGATGCAGATTAATATAATTGTGTAAATATGCACTTTCTTAAACTTAATAAATACGCTGTAAGCCAGCTGTTGCAACTGGTGATGACCTTCTCCAGACTTGATCAACTACACAGTAGGATTAAGACAACATTTAATTAGTGGTAATTTATACTTAGCTACCTCAGTTTCACATTTCACATTAAGAAGTGTTGTTGTTACTTAGATGTAATGTTTTTCATAAAAAAAGATGGATATGGGGCGTCTTGGGCCTAGCCCATTAAGGATCCACTTGCCATGTTTCGTGTCGAAATTTTCACAAGTACAGTCCAGAAATGACACAAGTTCGATTCATATGTTTCGTGCATGCTTGGTAAGATCTTATCATGCTTCTCATAAAATGTGACCTAAGCCCGGTCTACAGCCCGACAAGAACAGTATTATGTCGTATTGTGCCTTTACGTGACGGTCATGTAAGGCCACGGACTTATCCAAAATGAAATCAATAACATAATATTAAAATAGACATCAGGAACGACTCGTGTCATTTCCTGATGCTGTTTTTCCCCTCTATAACCCTCTTTTTCTTTTTTTTTTCGTCAAAACTTCTTAGAGTTATATTTAACATAGTATTATAATATAACCTTTCTATTTGAACACCATATTTTTTCATACAATAAAAAAGATTCATGTCATTTATATTATAGAAAATATTCATATTCTTGTATAAAAATTTTTCCATACCTATTGTTTTATATTTCGTACATTATATATATTATGTCCTATCTTTAAATAGGAAAATACATCATATATTATTCCTTTGAATCTTCTATTTATCTATACTAAAAGCGAATCAGAAATTACACGTGTTCAGACTTTTTTTTTTCTTGATCAAGTATTCATTCCATTATAATCGATCTATAGTATTCAGTAACTATTAATTAAAAAGATTGATTATAATGATAACAAAGTAATGTAAAAAAAATAGTTAATTTGTATTAAATGTTTTATCAGTCAATGGGTGTCAATAAAAAAGGGGGGGCAAAAGATATGTGAGTTTATCATACTGGTATTAACCTCATAATCCCTAAATTATATATATATATTTATTTTATAAAGTCTAATGCATTAATCAATTAATGTCTTTGTTATGGGTATAAATTTATTTAAATTGATTTTTTTTTCTGCTTTAATTTTTTTTTTTTGGTTAGTTAAAATTGCGTATAATAGAATTAACATTTTTCATTACATAATTTGTAAAAACCTTACGTGGCATTGGATTTAAGCTAGTTATAAAATGTAAAGCACCCAAAATCTCAACTCCTTATTACTAATTAAACTAGGTGGTGTTAAAAATGAAAACTGTCCAAACTTCAGGCCCAAAGTAAAAATAATTACGGAGTACTTAATGAACTCAATCAAGACATGATGAAGCAAGTACGTAAAGATTAAATCTATATTAAAGATTCAATCAGTTCTAATTTATTGAGTAGACCCAATCTATAGTACTGATTGAATCTTTTGGGCTGATTATGAACAACAAAATGAGCACTTTTATTAGAAAAATGAGCACTTTTATTTTAATTTTTTTTTTTAAAAAAATAGATGGCAAATTTTAGCTTATCATTCTCATCGAATTTGATTAGTACTTCCCCTACGCAATAAAATACTCAACTCTTTAGATGTTACCTTGAGAACAAGTTCATGAAGGCATGCATGCAGTACAATTTGTACGATAAAAAATGTTGGGATTCACATTTGGCAAGTTCGTAAAAAACAAACTGATAACCAAGAAATTAAACCTTTCTTACACGCAAATACATAATTAAATGACTCAGGCCACTACGGTTTCGTAGGAAATTAATTATCAAATTGAGGTACCATGCACTTTGGCCTTCTTCATAGCTGTCTTTATTCAAGTGCCTTGTCACACAAATTGCTATTGTAGTTGATTCCTTAAAAGTTAAAATACGTAGTATTTTCTTTTTCTTTATACCCAAGCACTAATGATGCAATTATAAGAATATCATTAGTAGAGTGCATATAGGCGCATAGCAATTACTTCGTATTTATTAAGCATGTATATAGAAGGGTGTTTTGGAGTTTTTATTTTTTTTTTCATTTGATGTTTTTCTACCGTGGTACATTGATGTGTACAATTTATGTATGCATGTATAATGTACCATTAAAATATAAGTTTTCTTAATAGTACTTTTTATGTAATATCGTATGCACGTAGTGGTATTTTTTGCCATCATATTTTCCCCAAAAATCCCTTTCACCTGGTAATTTATTAGCCCACTTTCATGTGACAAACTTTAACTTAATTTCATCAATGTCATCCTATATGTTAGCAAACATATAGCACCTATAAGCTTATAGTTATTCGCTTATTAGTGTCTATTAGTCAAAGGTAAAACTATATGTATTAAGAGTGCAACCACAAGGAGCACTGATATAAACAGAATTTAACTATATGTCTTGATATTAAGTAATTAACATTATTATCTTATTTTTCATTGTTGTAATACAGTTCACAAACCTAGTTCAAAATTAGTTTTACATGTATAATTCTGGTTATTTAATTTACATGCATGAATTATAGTTTATAGTACATTCCAAATTAATTAGTTGTCACTTTACATTTATCAAACATATTTTGGTCATTTGATTAACAAATCATGACACAAATGTTACAAGAGTAATGATTGATGACTAATTAATAAATTAATAAATTATTCTACTCCATACTAAATTTGACTTCTTAAGTTTCTATCATGAAAACCAAATGACAATTATTCATTTAAGTCTCCAAATTGGTCGCACTCTTTCTCATTAATGAATTATTTGTTTATGCAACATCACAATCCTAGCTAATAGACTCTTATTTGTATCATAATAATATCACATACTTGTATGATATTGTTCTCATAATAACATTCTCTTATACTTCAATATATTCTCTAGTGTATTATTTAGATACTTTAGAATATACTAATTCCTAATATTTGCTTTATCGTTTTAACTTCGAAGAGTGGAAGAATAGTTAGATACCTTGCTCCTAAAGACAAAGCAAGTAACCAAAGTAAGCAAAAAACAGAATAAGCTAAGCAAGTCTCCAACTCTATGGCTGATATGCTTGCTGCCCCCTTTTGTGGCTCGGAAGTGTGGGATGCCCTCTCCCAAATACACCCCACAAAGGCCCCTAGTCCCGATGGTATGTGTGCTATCTTTTATTAAAAATTCTGGAATATTGTGGGATCAGATGTGATTAATAGAGTGCTTGATATTTTGAACAATAATGGTGAAATCAAGTCTATTAATCAGACTCATATTGCTTTAATTCTGAAAAAAAAGGAATGTGAGTCTGCTGTTGATTATAGGCCGATTAGTTTATGTAATGTGCTCTATAAAATTGTCGCAAAAGTCTTAACAAACAGATTGAAAAAAGTTCTTCCTGCTGTTATTCATGAATCCCAGAGTGGTTTTGTTCCGGGTAGATTAATAACTGATAATATCCTGGCAGCATGTGAATGTTTCCATTATTTGAGGAAGAAGAAGAAAGGAAAACTAAGTCTGGGTCTTTCAGTGTTAGGAGCGCTTACTATGCCGAACTGAACTCAAATAGAAGTACGAAGGCCTCGTCATCAAATGTTAAAAAACACAACATCTGGAATAAAGTTTGGAATGCAGCCATTCCCCCAAAGATTAAGATGTTTGGGTGGAAAGTGTTACACAATGGAGTGCCTGTTCGTGAAAATCTCACTAAGAGAGGTATGCCTGTTGACAGTGTGTGTCCGTTGTGTGGAACTGATACTGAAAATGCTATGCATGCTTTGGTCCATTGTGAGGGTGCGGCTCGTATCTGGTATTCGAATTGACGTCAGTACATGTGCTTTCTCCTCCTTCTGGTGGAATTTGTTTTGGAGTCTCCTTTGGGGAATTTGGCTTCGAAGAAATGCCTGGATTTTTGAGAATAAAAAAGTGGTTGAGTTTGATGTGATTAAGAAAGCTGTGAGTGTTGTAGGTGAGTTTGAGATTGCTCTTGAGGCGTCTTCCGTTGCTGCTCCAACATCAGCCCCCACTCGTCAGGTGTGGACTCCCCCAAGTGCAGGTTGCTACAAAGTAAACTCAGATGCTGCTTGTTTCGTGGATGGTTATGTGGGTTTGGGTGGTGTTATGCGAGACCACACTGGGGATGTAATGGTTGCTACGTGCGTAAAACAGAAAGGGTGTGGTAATGTTGATGTTGCTGAGGCCTCAGCAGCAAGACATGCTGTTAGCATTGCTATTGAAGCTGGTCTGGACAAAATCGAGTTGGAGACTGACAGTATGAACCTCTTCAACCTGTCTTGGTTTGATTGTGCGAGATATCCTAGAATATGCTAAATGCTGCTCCAGCTTCTCTATTGAAGAGTCAACTTGGTTGCTCATAAGTTAGCCCAACTTAGTAAAAATTACTATGAGCTTCGTATTTGGATTGAGGAGCTCCCAACTGAAGTTCAAGCTTGTATTGTTTCTGATCTTATGAATACTTAATAAAGCCTCGTTACTTCCAAAAAAAAAAAAAAGGGACGGCGTCTATTATCTACTTTGTTTGACCAACTCTCTCTCTCTCTCTCTCTCTCTCTCTCTTTCTATTAAAAGCAGAGGTATTGGATGTACTTTTAGATAATAATTAAGTAGATAGACATGAATTATTGGTTTGTTGTTGACCATTAGTTGATAGATAAGTTATGATAAGTGAAGTATGAGGGCTCTTTAATTATAGGCCTTAACCTTCCTCGGTGCATTTTATTCTATCATTTCAATATCCTAATTTTCCAATGCCTTAACTATTTGCAATTTTGCATCATCATTTAACCACTACATAATTCAATCATTCTATAAGAAGATATACGAAGTATTAATTAGTGGAGTGCATTAATCTTCCCCGGCCATCTCCGGCCTCCCATACAATTTTTTTTTATTCTTATTACTATTATAATATTGATCTGAAATCTCTTAAGAGTCAATCTGATTTTTTGTTAGTAGATTAAAATCTTCGGAAATGAGGAAAGGGTGATAGATCTCTACCCTCGAAGTGCCATGCCATATATAGGTTTAATAGGTATGATCCCAAAATTCTAATTATAAATGTTAGAATTAAGACCATTAGAGAAATAACATCATGCTTTACTCTCCAATTCTTTCTTGGATCCATATTGTTTGAAATTAAACATCTCTTCTCATGGTTAACATAGGAACTCTAACGTCGACCAAGTGACCAACTATGTTTGACTAAATCAAATTCAATTTTGAACTTGAACTCACCTTGAAATATAGTTTCGTATTAAATCCAAGCTTAATAAGAATAATTAGTGTACAAGCTTAACTCAACAAAAGCATGTTCCAAGATACAAATGTTATTGTCAATTAACTCTATTTAATCTTCAAAATAAACTATACTACAACCAAGGTCGTTACTTTCAGGATTTAACCCCTAATCAAAAAATTAACAGTTTTTTTTTATTAATATTTAATACTAATACTCTGTTTTGGTTTTGAAACAACAATAACAAACTAACTGATTCTTTCCCTCCAATTTTGCTTCTTCCAAAAGCAACCACAGAAATTATTCTTCCTAAAATTCCGGCGAAAGCAAGAAACGGCGTAATTACCAAAAAGATCAAAGTAACAGAAACTTGATCTACCAAACCGATTAAAAAAAAAAACCATAAATTTTTAATATCAGTAGAACAATAATCTTTCTTTCATATAGAATATAGATTTATATACATTACAATTGATGAAATTAATAAATCGAATTACCTAAGATCTCAATTAAACCAATATAAATCGTCAAAAAAAACTACCAATTATAAGTAAATCATATGAATTATAACCCTAATTTGATCGATCAGTACGGAACAATAGTCTCGAAACAATGAACACCATCCAATTCCACCGCAAAACGAGGATTCTTCTTCTTGTTGTTCATCAATTCCTTCTTCACCGAACCCGAAACTGACGATGAATTATTATTATTACCATTATTATTATTATCATCATGATTACTCTTATTCTCGACGACACTCGACGAGTTCGTTGTATTAGCCGTCGTTGATTTAGGAGAGATTTTCTGAGGAGTGAAATTGACGAGTTTCCAGCCGTACGATTCAGCGCCCATGGCTTCAAACGAACTGAAGATGGATGACATCATCTTGAAGAAATTTAGAAGTTTTGATTGTTTTTTTTTTTTTTTTTTTGGGGAGGAGAGAGAAAATGAAGATGGTTGAAAAAAAGCGGAATAATTGAAACTTGGAGAAAAAGAAGGAATAAAGAGGTGGTATATATAGGGTTGAAAGAGAGAGGAAAAAGGAAGCATCTGGAAAAAATATTAATTAAAAACAAAATTAAGGAAGGACGGTGGGAAAAGGGCAGATATCGAAACTAAAGAAAGTTTCCTAAAATATGATTAAATTAATACGCGTAAAGTAGAAGCAGTCCAAGTTACAATTAAAAATAAGGAAAGAAAGAATGTTGTTGTTTATAACTTGTGTTGTCTTCTTTAGATGGGTAGCTAAGCTATTGCTTCTTCATTGGGGTGGGTCAACTTTGGGTTTGGGGTTTGGACTCTTTTTTTTAAAAAATGTTGTTTCTAGATTGATATGGAAATCTTGTGAAAGTTTTGGTTCTTCAATTTTCAATTATGTTGGTTTTATGTATGAAAATTCCAAGAAACTACTTGATTTAAAGTCCAACGTACGTACACGTATCTTGTATATTCAAAAAAATCGTAATGTATCCCTTAATTTCTTGAACGTGATTCATATAAAGAATGTTTATAAAGTATCTTCATCATGATACTGTCGCTATACTATACTTATAATATGGCTTGTTACACTTTTATATAGTATCTTCATCATGATTGTTGGTTGTACTGTACCTATAATATGGCTTGTAACACTAATATGGTACAAATCTCGTATATTTATTAAGTTTCTCCAAATACATATATAATAATAAATATATGTTGTATAGGTAAATTTGATGTTGGTTTGGGAGTTGAAATTAAGATTTCAAGTTTAGATGGTGGCACTTATAGCCTTCTTAAGTTCTTATCTTGTTCTTTCAATCTTCATATTTATGCCACGTGTGTTAGGAGATTGTTCAGATTTAAATTTTATTTTGAGGGTCAATTGTAGATAATTATTAATTGTTCATATTTTTATATTATTAAGTATTTAATTTTTCTAACTAGACAAATAGTAGAAATATGAAGTATTTGTACCGAGACAAATGTAATTTAATCATCTTAATGAATGGAGGAGAACAAAAAGTGTAACCAACTCTAAGATGCGAAGAAAGAGCACCAAATTTATTGAGTATGACATAAAAGTTGCGCGTGATAGATACTTACTACATTCCAGCTAGAGATGAACACAACTAGGTAACATAAAATTTGCTCACCCCTATATTCAGCCTTAGAGTCCCTTTATTAAGAGTCAAATGACTTTTTAGTCCAATAGCCTATTTAACTTTAACCCCTCAATCCGTCCAAATGAGAAGCTCTTCTATACTTGGTAATTTACTAAAATTGGTATGTATGTTAACAAGTAGCCAAGTAGTCAGTCTCTTTTTCACCCCTTTTAAACTCCTTTTAATTTTTTAAACCTACGCGGCAAATTGGCTCCACTAGTTGTTACGGCTGGCTCATGCTAACGTACGCTACATGTGCTTGTGCGAGTTTGACGGTTGGATAAAAGAAATACTACGTAGAATAATCAATAATGTTTTCTGTGTTGGATTTTAATACTCTCTCTTTAATGCTTATCCATTCACCTTATATATATGTCATCTTATTTTATTACTTCTACTTTTCTTCTACCAACATCAGATGACTCTGCTTGACTAAATTTAATGACTACCAAATCTGACGTAGTCGTACAAATATACAATTGGACCAAACTAACATGATCAATCTTCATTCATTCTCAACCTAGCATAATTCTTTCTATTGTTTTTATTTTATAGTACTACATTATTCATACTTTGCCATCATATACTAATCATGTTGAGAGTGAAGAATACCTCAAGTGGTTAGAGGTCTCCTCCCGGTGTCAGGTGATCCTGGAATCAATTCTCATCACTTTTGTGGCTCTCTAAACACCCAAAAAAAAATATACTAATCATATTCATTCATTCAAGTATTCAACAAATCAATAGTATGAGCTTTATATCACACATAATATCTATTGTACTTCATACATTCCATGACTTCAAAGTGATCTATGATTTAGGCCTTTAGGGTATGTTCTCTTTTCTTATTTAATTGCAAACAATAATTAAATATTCTTAATACATATAAAGTAAAAAAAAAAAAAAAAAATTAATCAAGACTAATTCTCTAACATTGTTTACATATAGCTACATAAAAATAGTTTGATATTAATAAGACTATTACTATTAGAAAATTTGAAAATACAAACAATAAGGTCTAAGTTGAATCCAACAAAACCTTCACTTAACTGATAAAATCATTGTGAGTACATCAGATCATTGTGAGTACATCAGATCTAAATGTTAAAACAAGACAAGACATCATCATCATTATTAATAGTATTATCCTTTTTTTTTTTTTTTTTTGGCTTAATGATTAATGCTGCTATTCTCTATTAGGTGTGTTATACTCATCTGATTTTCACTTAACAGAACCCATTTAAATTTATTTTTATTGTAATTTATACCGAGTAAGAACTTATTTTTTTCAGAAATTATCTTGTCTGAATTTATTTGGATATAAAGCAAACATAACATGTCCTGCTTCAAGATGTCCACATGAACATGCGAGGAAGTAAATGTGAGACTGTAAAATTAAAAACTCTATGAAATTCACATTTTCAACCATACAAATATAAATTTTTTAACTTGGATGATCCTGGATCAATAAAACTTGGTAATTTTTTTTAAAACCCCATAGTCACCATGACACCAAAGATGCTGACTAGTATTGCACTTTGCACCCATAGTGTATTATTTTTATCTTAGGATCCACAGATAATAATACAAGTATTCATCTGGACAACGGCCCAATAAACCTACCCTCATCTAACCCACTTTTAGAAGCCCAACAATTAAAAAAACAAAAAACAAAAAATTGAAAATCCTAAAATCCAACGGATGACGTGTACTAGCCAACGGCTGTGATGGATTTAAGAACCTCAAAAATCTCACAATTCTTCTGAAAAAGTGCAGTGGGACCCACTTTAGACTCAGGTGATTTCCAGCGTCAGGTTGTAGTAGGATTAATTTGCCTTTTTATTTCTTCACGAATTTCCCTATTGGTTAAAAACTCCAAAACGTACCATATATCTTATGACACGCCTCACTAAATTAACCCCCTTTAT